GGTGTCCAGCCCCGGAACCGTCCTGATGCAGCGGGCCAAGCTGTACCTGGAGCAGTCCATCTCTCTGAACATGCTGGTGCCCTACCGCTGCTTCAAGCGCCGGTTCCCGGGCATCTCGCGGTCCACCTACTACAACTGGCGGCGCAAGGCCCTCCGGAGGAACCCCGGCTTCAAGCCAGCACCCGCCCTCCCGGCCGCCGGGACGCCCCAGCCGGCGTCTTGTGGGGAAGGGGACCTGGTCCCGCGGAAGGGTCAGGCCGAAGAGGGGCCAGGGAAAACAACAGGCAGCGGGCCTCTCGCCCCCCGGGATCTCCTGCCCCTGGGGGTGCCCCTGCCGCGTTGGCAGAGGCGCCTGCGCAGGGCTGCCCGCCAGCAGGTGCTGAGTGGGCATCTCCCCTTCTGCCGCTTCCGCCTCCGCTACCCCAGTCTGTCGCCTTCCACCTTTTGGGTCTGGAAGAGTCTTGCCCGCGGCTGGTCCAGAGGCCTGTCCAAACTCCCTGTGCCAGCCTCCACCTTGGGCAAAGCGGGGCAGGAGGCTGAGGCGGCGGCGGCTGGCAGGAATGTGACAGCGTTGGCGGCCCACCCTGCGGGCGCTTCTAAACACGAGGAGCCTGCGGGGGCCCAGGAAGGGCCTTCTAGAGAGGGGGCCACAGTCCAGGGCCAGCTCCACAGTGAGTCCCCACGGAGCCACCCTCTGGTGGCCACGGGCAGCGGCAGTGGGCAGATGCTGGTGATGGACGTGATTGCTACCACGAAGTTCAAGGCCCAAGCCAAGCTGTTCTTGCAGAAGCGCTTCCAGTCCAAGAGCTTCCCCTCCTACAAGGAGTTCAGAACCCTCTTCCCCCTCACTGCTCGCTCCACTTATTACATGTGGAAGCGAGCTCTCTACGACGGTCTCACCCTGGTTGATGGCTGATGGGTACAGTGCAGAGGGGCTGGCTGGAAGGGAACCCTCTGGAAAGGAGAGGGGATCTGAGCGGCCCGCACCCTGGACAGGGTGCTGCCTCTGCTTTGGCTCCCACAGTGTCTACCCTGAGTCCAAGGGCCTATTTGTGTTGTCTCCTAGCTGCAGGGCACAGAGAACCAGAAGCCAGCCATCTGGTTTCCTGCAGGTGGCTATGGGACCAGAGACGTTCTTTCTGGTGGTTTGCTGGCCCGATTTTTATTATGTTTTAGTTTTTGGTTTTGATTTGAGTGGGTCGACCGGGCCTGCTGGCTGGAGTTGGAAGTGGTATGTATGTGGGGTGCTGAGGGGGTTGGTTAGCTAGAGTGCATTCAGCTTTTCTTGGGAACAAAAGGAGCGTTATAACATGGCTGTCTGTCCCACTAGGCAGAATATGTATCTTTGGTTTCTTCTGGAGAGTTGGCACCCTCTTTGACTCAAAGATATTAACTAAAGGAACATTAGACTCAAATGCGGGGCAGATCAGCAGCTTCTGCCTGGTGCCCCCAGGAGAGAAGGTGCCAGACTCGGGGTGAACGGCGGTGGGGACGGCGGTGGGGACGTATAAAGGAACTACGATGGCCTCTGGGGAAGGGCCCGAGGCACCTGAGATCCTTGAGGGGCTGGTCTGTCCCCTGTTAGGAGTGTGGGGTGAAGGAGACTGGCAGGGAGATCGGGCCCTGTTGGGGATATGGTGCAGGGGCTCTGCCGGCTGGCATTTGATCCCCTTGCCAGGAACCCCACAGACTCTGCCCCTGGCTGGCTGTTGGGACCCACCTCTCTGCTGAGCCTCCCCTGTGCTGTGCTGCATCTTCATGGGGAACGCCAGAGCAGCCAGGCAGGGGAGACTGAATTTGCAGTGTCTGAGACTAAAGCTGGAAGCCAGTGAAATAAAGTGATGTGCCTATGGCCCTTGGTCTGTGTAGTTACTTCGTTAGGATGTCACTGCCCATCCCATATTCTCTTGGTTTAAGGGGTCTGTCTGGGGCTTGGGAGATAGAAGGATTTACTCTGTGGATTCTGCTTTGAACTGAATCTAAAGGGAGCTGGGCGCTCCTCTGGGGGTGGGCCCGTCACTACTTGTAAAGATACCTACCTCAACATAGTTGCCAGGGCTCACATCTATAATCCCAGCACTTTGGGAGGCCAAGATGGGAGGGTTGCTTAAACCCAGGAGTTCAAGACCATCCTGGGCAACATAGTGAGACTCCGTCACTATCAAAACCAAAAAAACCCTCCCTTATGAGAAACCTGGCACACTGACCATGCTCTGAGGCCAGGCTGCGTCTGAGGTCTGTGCCAGGCATCTTATTTAGTCCTTGCCTGTGCTCAGGCAGGCTAGGCCGCCACAGAGGTGAAAACTGGGCCTCAGCACCTATTTGCATGTTCCTTCTGGAGGGGCTGAGCTTGAAGCCCTGGCCTTTGCCAGCTGTGGTTTTCATCCTGTCAAGGTTTCCTGCAGCGGCCATCATCCCTGTGGTCTTGGTGGGTGGTTTTTGGTTCTGCCTCTTGTTCACTCCCACATCCAGTACATCAGCAAGTCCCAGCAAATGATACCTAGGCCCTCCGTTCTGCAGCCGTGTTTCCTGGCCCCACCCAGCTTGCAGCTCCTCTCCCTGCCTCCCTGCCTCTGCTCTCACCCCCCCCCC